TTGAGAGCCCTCATTTTGATATACATAACCAGCACCTCCCAATCTACCACTGCATATGATTTTGATTCGTAAAAAAAAATTCTATTTTTCATGATGCCTGAGGGGGACCTCAGGCACAAAAATGGTAAATTTCGATTTTCGAGAAATAAAGTTGAAAAAAGTGATCAGAGACACTCGTACTTTCTTTGAGTCAGAAAACGCTCACGCTCATGAGCGCTCTTGAGCGTGAGCAGTACAGCCCTATCACTGAGTACTGAAGTGTTGGGTAGTTAGCAACATCTGTTTCAAAAACTATTAAGTACGCTCTTTCAGGTAACGAGTTCATTTTTCCAACCCACCGACTTCGAACCATCGCAACTACGCGTAACTATTTTATTGACCATGCCTGGTTCCTGCGTAGAATAGATTCTTTACGCTCCTTGGTTCAGATAAAGTGGTCAATTCATAAAATCCTTTCTTATCTGTATGTCTGCATTTCAGCTGGTTCAATACTAGTGGAGATCACATATTACTAGGTTAAGACTCAGAAGTGGAAGAACATTTATCGTCCTTTTTCTGGAATTCTGTCGTCCCGTATATATGAATTCAAGCGAAGAAACACAAAATATATCGTTGACAAGCGGCTTTATATTATCAAATAAGCACATATGTCTCTACTTTCTGTTTGCGATTGTTGCATTGTTATTTGTATCAAGCACATTTCGACAAGCAAAAATATTACGAAAGGCAATTGGTAATTCTACACTTGAGCCACATCATCCAATTAATAATATTACATTTGAGCCACATCATCCAATTGATAATATTACATTTGAGCCATACTATCTAGTTTCCCATACTCTATGTGAGACTTCGGATAATCGAAATGTGGTAAATTTACCAATGAGACAAAATGATCTTCCAGCAGTTGTCTCCGTTCTTGCAGGCAGCTCTCAAAAATTATTCGTTAATGATACTTTCTTGGAAGAAATCGATTTCTTGGTTATGTTTGAACGTAATAATACGGCGATGTCATCGAAGGAATACTTTACACACTGTTTTTTGAATTGGAAACTAGAATTATCAATACGATGTGAAATTGTTGGATTTGGAACTGTACAAGGCAATCTGACATTATCTTATCGTTATAGCATGAACAAAGAAGGTCGCTTAGTTTGTTCAGTAAAGTCGTTAATGGTACCGGCAGATCTAAAGCTTTCTATACGATTAATTGATACAGAACATAGTTTAAATGGATCTGTAGTATTATGTCCACTGGATGTGAATCGAAAAATTTATACATTGGTTGGGTGTTCTCAGCCACTTTACAATGTAGATAAACTTGAAGCTAAATGGCCTGGACTTATTCGCATGTGGGTTCTATTCTACGTGAATTATTTAGGCTTCGGGAAAGTACATATTTACGATATTGATGGTAGCACCAAGCCATATATCGGTGGACTAGTCGAACGAGGAGCTTTGAAATACTACAATAGTTGGGCTCCAACTGAATCAATGCTTAATCTAAGCTTAAATGGATCACGTTATTGCAGTGAAACTATGATGGAAAATCAATGTCTATGGCAAAATCGAGGTTTAAGCGAATGGGTCATGCTAATTCATGCTCCAGATAATTTCTTGAATGATTTTGCGAGAGCTCCAACATTAATTAATTATCTTAATACTATTAAGCACACTATAGCATTGTCATTGTTAACAACCTTTGCTTTTGGACATCCGAATGTTACTATTTCAAAACAGCAACCGGCGAATACTTTATTTGAAACAGTAACCATCCGTGAATGTGGTCCTTTTCTTTATGGTAGACATTTACCAATAGCGAACCCTCGCCAAGTAATGATGTTATTTGTACATGTTGCACTTGAACCATTCGATAAAATTTTGACGGTGCTGAATGAGTGTCCTGTACGAGTAAATCATTATGTGACAATGTTTCAAGTTCGATCAATTCATGGACATTTTTCCACACAGAACAACTTTTGCTACGACAGAACACTTGATAATAACACGAGGTCTTTTATGCATCTGTTAAATTAAATACTACAAGAAAATGCTTCAGATAAAATTGCATGGCACTTACCAACTCACTCATTATGGCCCTCAAGATTGAAAGGAAATTAACAATAAACATAATGTCGCCTTTCTAATGATTAATTCTAATATATCATTTTGGACATAAAAGCTATTGCAAATGTTGCTTTCATTTCTATACAGGCAATTCTTTTATCTGATGAGCTTTAAAATCAAAACTCATATCATAGTCCATACTTTATGGAATTCGATCAACAGCTAGCATAGGGTTGGAATTAAGAAAGATCGTGTTAAGATGCAATCAAAATCACGGTACTTAAGGCTATAGATGTCAAAATGTCTGCAACATAGTATAAAAGCAATCGGTCGTGTATAGATGGCAGTGCCATGCAAAGGATATGAGTTAATGATCGATTCTGTGAGTCAATTCCTGCCACGTCGCAATAAAACCTCGCTAATCAAGTATTTGAACGCTTATGGTGGAAGTCTATTCTGTAGATAACGGAAACGCGATGCTTTCGACATCCTTGCATCAGTATCTCATAAGCAACATCAGTTTTAATACAACAGGCATACACTATGGGGAAGCATATTTCTAAGTATTTCTGTATTTCAGAAATATCTAGGAGCCATTGCACGAAAGATACAGCCAAAATATGGACCACGTGCTCAATTTATATCATCGATTTCAATGAAACTTTGCCCAAGTGTAGCCCTAAGTGAGATATGAAAATGCTAAAAATTTCAGCTTCTAAAACTATTCTCTTCTTGAGATATTAAAACCGAAACAGAGGCACCCTCAGGCAAAAAAATGAAGGTAATCATATCAATACCCATACATTGTACATTTCGTCATTATTCAACAATAACCTTTTTACTCATGAAATTTTGTGAGCATATACTACTATAGGCACTCTATATACTGGCACACTCAAAACGACTTTCCGGCATGTTAAGAAATATAGAGAAATTCCAGAAGTTCCAGATATACCTCTTACCTTGTGATAAGCATTTCTATTCCTTATGAGCGAGTTATGAGCTGCCGCTTTGGAACTAAGTACTACTGATCCTCAGCTATTAGCAGCAATTTTCAAAACCTTGGATATTTGATTTTGACTCGAACAAAAACCTTTTCTGGTGTATATATGAGGTGATTTGGGCAAAAATCGAGATCCATTTCCAGACAAGCTACCCAATCATGATTATCAGGTTCTGCTTAAATTAAGATATTCTTGAACAGAGCAAAGGTTTACAAATTTTGACGCAAGCCGTTTTAAAAAATGTTGAACTCTCGACTTTTTATGAGCGTATGAAAAGTCCTTCAAATGCTCATTTCGTTCAAGGAAGGTCCTAATGGGGCTATATCTCAAGAACAACTCGACCGATTGACCCAAACTTTTCTACACAAATATATCTTAATGAGTTTTACTCGCAATAAAATTTTCGTCTGAAAATATTGAGGCATTGAAATTTTATGGACCATCAAATATAGGGAAAAATCGACTTTTTAGGTAACTTTAGTGCTTCAGAACTGTTGATTAGAATGAGGTAGGAGTCTAAAATTGTCGTCATAGATAGAGCACTGAGAGATCTGTTCTCTATAAAAATTTCCACTTTCTATATCATTCCATTTGATCAGGGAAGTCCTCTGAATAATGGGTTTCCGATAAAAATGGGAGTTTTCAGGTGTGGATGTGGGTTCTTATCTTCTCTTGACCCACACTCACACCCACACCCTTTCAAGTGTGAGTCTCAATTTTAACTATAATAATACTACCTTTTACAATTCACTGAACTAATTCTTCTGATATATTTTGGTTTTTTTTGGATAGAACTTTAAATAGAAAAAGCTGATTGATTTTATTGGTGAATTTATTCAATTTGGATAAATTTTGAGATAGTTAGAAATTTTCAACTAGCAGAGTAAAACATAGTGAATGTCATACACGATAATCTATCGATATATTATTTTCAAATAACAGAAGATCAATGTATCTTTGTAAAACTGTATTGTAGCATTCTTATGAGTACAAGTTATAGAATGATATCACTTGGAGGCATTTTAGAATTTTGAGGGAAATCTTGCTATGAATGCAGATGTTCAAGCTTAGTTCGCTCTTATAATAATAAATAACGCTCGTCGAGGCTGACTCGCTTAACCCTCGACTGAATAATTTAACATTAAGTGAAAACTGTCTTCTGTCACTCGAATCACTCGTAACAGTCTACTATCGCATACAAGCTCGATTTCAACTTCAGAAATGCAGTTGTATTACAATTGACTGTCTTATGAAATTAAAATGTTGCAAAAATTGTTTTGCCTATCAGGATAGTGTTAAAAATACCTTGAGCTTTAATCTAGTCAGTTATTGGAGCAAAATTATTCGTTCAATACAATAAAAAAAACTACGTTGTTGAAAGAAGTATTTCGTAGAATCGTCGGAATCATTGGACCGTGTAATTTTTTGTATATTATATGATTACATTAGCATCAAACAGGTATTTTCATTTATTTCTAATGATTAGGTATGTAAATCAATTTACGTGTATCATTAATATAACGTGAAATAGAAAATGTTTCTGACATGTTTTACAATTGTATTGTTCATTAATATTGCATTAAATAGATCAAGATATCATTTAGTTTCATTCCTTCGTACCAAATTGAAAGCGTATTCGAATTTATATTAAGTTTAAGGATATTTATTCTAAAACTTTTATAATCAACTACATAACAGAAACTTGTTTTATATATGATTAAAGCAAATAAAAATGAATATGAAAAACTAATATCTATTGAATATCATGCACAACATAATCGAAAAAGAAAAAACAAATCTAATTTAAACAATACTAATGCATTAAAACTTCATGGTTATATGAAAGATAAGTAAACTTACGAAGAATGCTAATTGTTTATAGTAAAACTACGCAGTAATAATAAAAATTGCCTTTATTATGTATAAGATTTATTGAAACCACTCTGAGAAACGCCTTTGTGTGTTTGTATATAGTTGGTCAAGCCGTTCCATTTCGGCTACTTGAGATTTATTTGGTTTCATAAGTAAAACTTTGTAATCGAATGGCCGTAGGATAGCTAGATCGACCAAACGTTTCACACGAGATAGTGGTACATATACAGCTGCAATATCATCAGTTTCATTTGGCAGTTTCAAATCAATAACGACTTTATTCAAAGTTTGACCTTGGCTTTTATGTGTTGTAATACAATAAGCAGGTACAAGTGGTAGTGCAGATCGTTTAATTGATAAAATTGTCTTTTGATTTGATTTTGGTTTTTTGTCTTTTGGAAGAATATCGGCAACGTCGACACGAAATGTTTGTTCAACTAACGGAATTGGAATAAGTTTTGGTTGAAGATCTTCAAGTTTGCATTCAATCTTCGACTTAGTAATTTCGATCAAAGCATATATTGGTCGACGAATATATTGCGTGTTATTCGGAAATATTTCCGATAAACTTTCTGTTGACACCGATTCTTCATGATATACTAGTTGTCGAAATATTCCATTAATGCCATTGATAAGACCCAGTTCAGTAGCAATATTTTGTGTTAAAATAACAGGCATTCCTGGAACAAAAGGCAGTAAACCAGGTAAATGTTCTGTTTTGCTATCAGATAATGCTAATAATCTTTTAACTAATATTGGATCTTCGACTGGTTTGCCGTTGCAAGTATCTTGAGCGACGCATACCATTGGTGGGTGACCTATTTGTGTTGCATTGTGAATTGCTGCCTTGTTGTTTAATTGTGTGCGAACTTCATTTCGAAACACGAGAATAGGAGCCTGAAAAGACGAAAATAATTTTTCCTTTACATGAAAAAGTGGATTTACTTTGTTCCATGGTGAATCATGTAGAGATTCTATTGATGGCTGTCCAACAACTCGTGTTTGCAATAATTCATAATCATCATAATTGCATTGTCCATGGCGAAGTCGATCGAGCAGTTGAAGATATCGTAAATCTTCTGTTCGCATCTGTTGTGTAAGTTTCGCCACACAATTAATTTGAAGAATTAAGGAACATGCAACACGTTGTTGAATTTCTTTTTCAGATGATGGTTTGCCTTGTTTCTTTTTTGATGGTAATGAAAAATCGGTGTGTAATGGTGAATCATAGATTGGTCGATATTGTAAGTGATCACCAAAGAAGATTACGTTCACACCACCAAATGGAACTTGAGGATCGACATGTTTTGCAGAGCATATTATTCTGTTAAGTTTTGCTAATAAAGTTAAGCCAACCATACTCATCTCATCAATTAGGAGATACTCGACAGGTCTCCATTCTTTTTCAAGTTTGGAATTACCTGGTTTAATGATGCGTGGCTTTCCGGAATTACGTTGTTCGCCTAAAAATGAATGAATTGTCATACCATCAATTTCAGCTGCTGCAATTCCAGTAGGTGCAAGTTTTCGCATCATTTGTATTCTTTTTGTAATAAAAAAATATTTTGTGAGAGCACGAATCAATTGTGATTTGCCCGTTCCACCACATCCAGGTATGCACATTATGAGCTGACCATTATTGCCGTCTAAAATATATTATTTGATGTAATAAATGATGGTTTATTTTATGAAAATACCTTTGCGACATCGACTGTCACCATCAAGATGATTTGTTATTATCAAAAATGCAGCTCTTTGTTCTTTATTCAATGTAAATTCATCAATGATACTATTTTGAGCTGAAAAATTGTTTTTAACTACAAGTACTGGAGGAATTGACGAATATTTTTCAAAATTGCTTTGATTATTATATGGATTAATGACTGTTATAACGGCATCAGTTACATCATTAAAATCCAATGTATCATCATCTTTAGAGTGTTTCCCCGAAATTAAGCTGCGTCTAACTCGTTCTTTTTCAATCTTCAGTTGGTCTTGCCATTTTGAATTAAGTTTAATAAGATTAGGCGTTGCGGAAACGAATGGTACAATTTGTCGATCGATGACTGTATTTGAAACATGTTGGTCATGTTCTAAAACAAATTATATATGTATTTTCTGAATGATATGGATGATAAAAAATTAATACTTACGATTCATATGATTAAACCGTCCAACCTTTTCCACGGCTTCAACAGTTTCTCGAATATACACATTTTCTGTTGAATTTTTCGTTGCATTAATTGCAGCAACTGTAAATTCGTCTACATTTCCTATTAATTGAATTAAATCGTCGATATCATCTACTTCGTATTCACTATCAGCATCTTGATTCGATGGTAAAAATGCAGGATCAATCGAATCATTCTCGACTTGTGCTTCAGCAATAACTTGAAGTAAATGTTCATCACGGTCCTTTTTACATTCATGTAAAAGCTGAATATTTTCTATAATCTTCCACGAGTGGGCAGAAATAAGATCTTTTCGAGATTCAAATGCATCTTCCCATGTTTCATCGACGTCACAAAGATCAATTGCATTGCGCCATGGTACAAAAAGTGTGAGAAGTGCTCGATTGTATCGTTCACGAGTGTCATCACGATCTTGTCGAGAAATTTGAGGACCATAAAGAACCGGTACATGAAGTTGACTGTATTTCATCAGTATATGTGTTGCTGCTTGAGGATGCTCTTCTTGAAAAGAAAAACGTTCATTAGATGGTCGACCTTTTTGGTTATCTTGTCGTTTTTCTGTCGTAGAAGCGTTTGATAAGTATTTCAAATCTGTTTCATTGATTTTTTTCCTATAAAATGTACCGACAAAATCGTATAAACATGTGTTGTTGAGGTTGTCTGAACGATATTGATAATCAATGCGTGTATTAACAAGTATAAAATTGTTTTTATCTTCTGTCGATTGAACTTGGAAATGTTCTTCGTCGCTATTTTCATCATTAATTATTTCATCATCATACACATCTTCATTGTCAATTACATCTAAATGTGAAAAAAACATACACGTTTTTTAATCATCATAAATGAAATGAGCTGTTTCGTCTTTTCACATATCAATAAGAAATTATATCTGAATAATTCACCTCGATGCTTAATGCTTATCTAAAACAGTATCGAATTTATACCAATCTAATTTCATCAAATAAAACTTATTGGTGATACAATGCATCAGTGGTGTTTGCACTTTTTCGTTCATCATTATCACTCTTTGTATGATAAATATATCAAACAGTTTGTTTCTTTTCCTTTGATTTTTCACAGATTGCTTATACATTGGGCACTATTCTTCTTTTCCATCATTACTCTTTCCTTCCTATCTCAGCATGTGTCCGTGCTCTTAATTAATTATCACATGTCAACTTTGATGTTCAAACTGTATCTATCATGAATTATCTTTCTTCCTCTTTCTTTTTTTTCTCCTCTCCCTCTTCTTTTCTTCCACTCTTTACTACATATCTTTTTTTTCTCTTCACACTCCTCTTTCTTTTTCTCGTTCTCTCCTCCCATTTTTCTCTTCTTCTTCTCTTTTCTTTCTCTTTTTCTCTCTATATCTCACACTGCATATGTATAAAAAAAAAGATTGTCACTGTATAAGAGTCCGCTGAAAAATATGTGTATAAAACAAAATAATTAGTTTTACCATGTGATGCTAGTTGGAGATTTTGCTTCGTGCGCATTTCATTCAATTCAATTTGTAAAAATCGTTCAGTTTGAATTAAATAAAGACCTTGAAACTTGTGTGTTGTGTAATGGTCATTCCAATCCATAAGATAAGAAGCAACTTGAACACCAGACAATTCTTGTTGAGAAGCAAGTGTATTATAGCAACGCAGAACGAGTTTACGTGATTTTTCAATTATATTTTCGTTATCTAATTGATTGTTTGAATTTTGTAATGATGTGATACTTTTTTGTACAAGAGAAAATGTATCATGAAAAGATAGACTCATCTTGGTAACGTAATCAGTAATGTAATAAACTAAAGCTTTAGCATCACTACCAGTCCAAATAAATTTAATATCCATATTGGAACGACAAGCTGAAATAAGATATTCGTTGAAATTGTTGATCCATGGATCTGATCGTCGCATCGAAATATGACCTGTATCAGGATCGATTGTCGACACTGGTACTAGTTTTCGTGGCATACGCATACAACAAATCTTCTTGTCACCTCGATTCGCATTATAATATTTGTAACATCTGTCACTATTTTTATGAGTGTTGTCCGACTCAACGAGTTGTGTGACATCAGCACGAAATCGTGATATAAAATTAGGCGATGATGGATTCGGAGTAGGTAAGCAAGCTGGAAGTAGGTTTAATTGATTATATGAAATATTCATATCTGAAATATATTAATAAATACTGTCCTTTATCAAATATTTACTTATCCTACTGATTGTTGATCGATCATGTGCTGGCGTTTGTGGCAATGGTGTTACTATTGGAGACCTATAAGGAATTGATGGGGATCTGTAAGGAATTGATGGAGAAGATTGGTGTTGTTTCGCCGGTGTTGACGGAATTGGAAATTCATCTGTATTTTCTGCAAAGCCTGTCAAATCAATAGTACGTAAAGCGGTATAAATATTGTCTTGTGATAATCGTGTAGGAGTGTTGAATGACCTCGGCACTACTATAAAGAAAGGAAAGGTGAATGGTCGAATAAAACAAAAATATTTCATACCATCTGAAGGTTCGATGACTTGCTTATCTTTGAAATCATCTAAATCTTCTTTGATAATATCTTCTAAATATGCTTTTAACTTATTACGAAAAGTAGCATCTTGAATTTTTTCTTTCATATCAGCTGGTTTCATATCATGATCAAGCCAAATAAGCAGATGTAAATGAAGTGAACCTCGGCCTTGACTTTCAACAGTACCGAAATAAGCCTTTATTGGTCCAAGAACACCACCCATTATCACAGCATCTAAGATATTGGTAATCAATAAGTGAAAAAATTTGGCAGTAGCAACTGGATGAGATGCTATAATTTCAGCTCTTTTGTAAGTGTCCATAAGTTGTTCATTTTGGATCTTATCTAAATTGAGTTGAACACCAGCAAAATATAATGCCACAGGACTATGAATATCGGCCGGATTTAATGTAAGAAATATACTGGGTAGACCTTGATTAAAAATAAGTGCATGAATTCGAGTACGTAAAGCTGTTCTTGAATATGCTGAACCCATAACTCGACCACCAATAGTTTTAATATGTTGTAAAAGTTTGTTTAATGCACTATTTGATTCTGTATTGTATTTTCTTTTGGAATTGTTGTCAAGAGCCATTTCAATATCTTTGCTATTTATTGATTGAATTTCATTAGCAGATGCATGAAAATAAGGTTTTGTTGCGATCAATTGAGCATGAAAACAAGCATCACGTCGTTGCAATAAATTGAAGACTACAAATATGAAACTGTGATTTGTTTCAAAACGACGATCATTATAAGATAATAGATAACGTATATGTTCTTTGAATTTGATTTCAATTGGACGTGATTGATCTTCAGGTGCTCCTCGTCCATAACAGAATAAAGTTGGATATAAACCTGTTAATAATTTTGGATTGAAATATTCATTTACAGGTTTCGACGAATGTGGAATTAGGTAAACGTTTTCAGTAACTGTCTGATCATTATTTCCATTATTTTTTATTTTGTGCAAAAAGTAATTAGCAATCTCATCTGAAGATACTGATGAACCATTAACATCGAGAACACCACTAAAATAGAGAAGCTCTATGAAATAATTGATTTATTAAGTATTCTTACCTGTTATTGATAGGAATAACATCTAAATTAGTACATTCTTGTGGATTGGATAATGGATCAGGAACATATCCAGTTCTTTCAGATTGAGCTTCTTCATCGTCTATCTTTTGTTCTAAAGTTGACATGATGCATTCCGGTACATCATCTTCTGGTAATTGAGCAATATTTTCGAGATTTATATTGATGTTTTGATAAAGTACATTATATTTTTTCAGCCATTATAATGCTTGAATAATTTTCTTCTTGCGTACTGTTAGAACTTTTTTAAGATGAAGACGATCAGGAGGTCGAGCTCCAATAAAAATTACTTTAAGTGTATCACATAGATCGGCAAGTGTAAGTGGCAAACTATTGACAATATTTGGTACATTTTGAAGAAAAGTAATACAGTTGCCTTTCAATGCTGTTTGAGCGGTTGTAGTTGAATGAAAAGGCGATTGAAGTTTTATTATACAGCTATTGTGACGATAAAGTGAGATTAATTTTTCTTCTGGAATCGTCAGTCCTTGTAATTCAGTAGGTATATCACCTAACCACATATTATTGGCAGCTGAAAACTTCGGTATGTGTTCTTTTGAAAGAGAGCTGTGACATTTTTGACAAAGAACACACATCTGCACTCTGTTTGTTCGAAATAAGCCATTTTTGTACAAAATAATATCATTCTGACAGTCAAAAGATGGTGAATCAATAGTTGAATGACCTAAAACGGACAAATCGGTATAAATTCTTAAATCAATTCAAGCATATACTATACTTTTAACATGTGCTGTCGTTTGTACGTCATTATCATTACCAGTGAAGATGGCAGTATTTTTGCTTGCATTTTTAATTAAATTTTTAAGTTCTTCAGAAACTTTAAGTAAATGAATATTAGGAATTTTTGAAATTGCTATTTTCTTTGAATCTTTTGCTGGAGTACGGATATTACAAACTGCACAAGTAGCTTCTGCCAGTTTTGACATGGACATCTGTTCTAAAAATTGTTGCAAACGGGTGTCTTTCAAATCACGAGAGATTGGTTCAGGCCAAGGTAAACGAATAGAGTCTTGTCCAGCACCAATATTTTTATAATTCTGTTTTTCAAGTTTCTTTTTAGTTCTATTTGCTTGACTTCGTTTCGTTTGTTGTTCAAGTCGAATCTGACGTTGTTCTTCTGATTCATTTGTTCGACTCGATCGATTTCTTTCATTCATCTTCTCGAGTCAGATTTGACGTTGTGCCTCTGTATCATTCATTCGACTGGATCGACTTCGTTCTCTCTCTTTCTGCAGACGAATTTGTCGCTGTTCTTCTGTTTCATTCATTCGACTGATTCGGCTTCGTTCTCTTTTCTTTTGAAGTTGAATCTGACGTTGTTCTTCTTTATCATCCTTCTCCCTTTGCATTGAACCTGAAATATTTGATTGCACGAAGTCATTTCCGATGTTGTCTTCACTTCGTAAGCGTCTACTAGAAGAAGATTGAAATTCAGGTATTCTTATTTGAGTAACAGTATTGTTTTTGAACGTTTTCTTTTCAGGGGTCTAAAGAAAAGTTTCTAAATTCTTGTTTCGCTATTTACAAATAGCTAACTTACCACGGCAAGTGATGCTGATTGACTGTTAAATTCATTAGCAATAGGTAGCGACATAAGTGGAACAAAATGATTTGGTCTCCATGTGCCATTATGTGTTTCTCGAGCATCTTTTTCATTCAAGGCGTTTGACCATAAAATCGCAATGTTACAATTGGCAATAACAGGTGGAATAGGTGTAAAGAGGTTATCCCAAATTGCCATATAATAATGAAACTCAATTTTTGGATAAACACTTCGTATGTTACATTGAAGTACATTACATGATGCGGCAATTTCGTATAATTCAGAAAACATATAATTTCTGCAAATAGCTTTAATAGCGACATCAGTAGGTCCCACATATTGTGAATACATAGTTTGATAATAATTTTCATTAGTTATCAGTTCCATAATTGTTCGAACTAAAAATATTTTAAAAAATAAATTTAGTATTCCATCAAAAAAAAATTATACCTCGTAATTCACTAGCCGTCACCAATCGATTGTTCATCAAAACAACAATAGAATGATATAAGCAATTTCCATCAGCAAGAACATCAACAGGAATAATATGATGTATATCACCAGTCGCTTTTTTAAGATATTCGTTAGCGACCACATCAACTATATGCTTTGTTTCATCGAAAACTTGAATAGGATGAAATTGAAATGGTATCATAATTGAATCCATCTAGAATATTTTTTTTTAATTTAATCGTCATTCAAATAAACTCACTTGTTTAATTCGTTGTACAATAGAATTGATTTCGTCGTGGTACATGATACTTTCAGAACATCTTTCCAAACGCTGAAGTAAATGTGCGAATTTTAAACCACGAGTCATTTGATTGCATTGTGTGCAACAATAACTTGCACACAGCATAGTGCAAAAAATGCATTGCTTGTTCATATTTCGGTTTTATATTATAATCTAAAACATACAATATTTCTCAAGAAAATCAACTGCTTAAAAGATTCCAATTAAAAAAAAACAATTTTTTAAGATTGAAATATGTATATTGTTGTTGAATAAATTGAGTATATTATCAAATCAATAGATACAATAAAATACAATATCATCTCTTCTTTAGATTTCTACTTGAGCAGCTGATTTTTCCATGTATTCTCTTTGCTTTTAATGTAACGCGACGAAAGAAATACATCACATAATATTCCATCTTGTAATGAAGATCATAGAAGAAGTTAACTTGTACAAATTCAGATTCTTGTATGCGTTTTTCTTTATATAATATATAAGAAAGCTCTTTTTTTTCCAAATCTCGTGAAAAATAACATATCTTTAAATGTTAAAACAACATTAACAACGTAATGATCATTGTTATGAACCATATATATATAGGTAATCATCTTCAAAATTTTCAAAAAAACGAACATTACAAATTTTCGAAACAATAAAGAGTCTAAATTTTTATGTAGTGTAAATATTCACATAATAAATCATGGATTTATCTTTTAAAATAGAACTGATTATTGTCAGAGTATGTATGATTTATTATGCGATGATCCAATAAAAATACTGAATCAATTCAAGAACTTATGTAATGATTATATATCTTATCTATTTATTCATTCATGGAATGCCATAATTTAATTCTTTATCATGTCGATAATGTTATTGTTTATTTTATAGAGAAGAATTTTAAAATTCTTTAATAACCTTAATCGCTTTCTTTGTACAAACTATATTTTAAAAAAAGGATATTTTAATATTAATAAAGAAATTAAAATAATAAAATCAAATGCAAAATGCAAATATGATTTTCGACCATTGTCATTTGAGGAACTATTTTTTCCATAAATATTGGCAGATGCAACTATACCTACGTTCGCTTTACACATTAAATTAAGACAAATGATCAATTCATCATAATGAATTGTAAAAATTATATTAAGAAAATTCGATCTCCATATGATCGAAATCTTAAGATATACACGATTAAAACCGTGAAAAAGAAGTATAGTGAGATAACATTATTTAAGTTTCAGATCTTAAACGATTACTGACTAAAATATACGAAATATCTTATTTCTCAAAATGGAAGTCAATCAGCAAGTAAATAAACGATCGATAGATGTTAATAAATATACGAAATAAGACAACAAATCGAAATGTTTAACATTTTTCGTGTTAAACTTCATTTGAATGAATAAAGATAATCAAAAGATCGTTACTTAACACGTTTTGACATTTTATGGACGATTTGAAAGAATTAGTACAAAACAAAATACATAACCAACTACTATATTTTTCGTTTCAATTCATATGCTTCATCTTATTCAAGTGTATTTAAAACATAGAATAATGTGTTAGGAAAAAATGCAAACTTTCTGATGTTTCAATCTTTCAATTTCATTACGTTCATGAAATGAATCAAACTTGAGATCATAAATAGAGAATCCTATTGAAGTTCAAATAGTAACACAAATTATCAATAAATATAAACTCAAAACTCATAAGATTTTCAAATTGCAATTTTATATAATAGAGATGCAATCGAATGCATCATACGAATATATAAGACAAATTGATGTTCTTAAATAAACAAAAAAAACGAAAAAAATATTAATGTATGTTGTTTTAACATGGAAAATATTAAAGTAATAAATCAGCTCAACAGTTAACGCTAGAAACTCATATATATGTTAGAATAATGAATAATTTTTATCAATGAATGGCAAAAACGAGAAAAAAAATCGTAGAAGACTAAACAATAATTGATCGAATTCTTAACAAAGTGATTTAATTTTTCTTTTTTTTTAATTTCACATAAGATGGATCGTCATTCATCGAAAAAATCGTTTCTGATCTAGGATTTTCATTTTCTAATTTTATGAAATCAATTAATGATATAATTTTCATTGGGTTGTATTTCAAATTCGTAATTTAATAAATGAAAAAACGAACTCTTTTCTTTCGTTCTAAACAATCATTTAAAGCATTTCTTTTTTCACAAATGAAAAAATTATTCGATAAAATGTTTTCGTGTCATTAAATAGAAACATAGAATCGACTATGATATGTCTTTTATTTCTTTCAATGAAATAAGTCTTACTACATTCATTAAATTAATATTTACTATAATTGAAACAAAAAAGAACATTACACACCTATTTATTCATTGAAATGATACTTTTTCTTTTGAGCAATACAAAATTTCTCAATGAAATGACTAAATCAATATTCATTTCATGTAAAAGATGAACTCTTTACTTGGTACAATAGTAGCTGTGATCTTATAATGTGAAATCGCTTCCAATTGTTAATGTTTTAGAATATGTTTTTAATATTTTTAATTCAGTACAATTCAGGACGATACGAACTATAGTTATAATGTTGAAAAAATAAAACAATTTTAGAATATGGAGATTATTCAACGTTCTACACGTTATCTAATTTGATAGAATGAGTTCAAGAACAACGAATATTCTTGAAGACATTTTGTTTATTTTGAAGAACGATTAGATGAGGTTGCTTTGTCCTAACTTTATCTCTATTACATAAGTGAAGCACATAAAAATATCATGCATTTCGACTTTCATTCTTTTGTAAAACTATCGATTGTACATCTTATCATCATGATTAATAGACAGTATATTCGAACAGGATAAATTACTTCGTCAGATTTTTCACAAATAAAGCAACGATACGAAAAGCGTTTTACAAGAACATTTGTTAATTCGTTGAGAATAACATTTGACAAAATTATGCTTTTTTTGCATGATATTTAACATGGATTCAAATAGATAAATCAATTAATGAACAAAATCATCCCATTGATAATCGGTTCAATCAAAAGTTGTCATCAATTTTTTTTATGTGAGAAGAAGCACAAAATAATCAGTTGACAATTAGTGATTTCATTGTTACTATACAAAATTTCGATTCACATGAATAATACTAAAAAAATAATATCATGTTGAGGAAATTTTTCAAAAAGAAGTCCTTCTGAACTTTCCAACGTAGAAAGATGGTCGGTTAATCAAATTCTTCTTTAGAAATTGTAATTGAATCTTTTGATGTTTAAATAGTTTTAATAGATGATACTTTCATTTATTGAAATTCTCAACAAATTCTTTTCTTTTATCATTTATTTTAAAATCAGCCGAAAGAATTATATTATAAAGCTTTATTTTTAAGGCTATGAGCGAGCTTCGCTCCTGTAGCCGGTAAAGAAAACCATTTTTATCAAGTGTACATGTTATGTCAACCAAGTTAGATATGAGATGTTTTAGAGCAACGATAGAAAAGCACTTTAAAGATGCCACAAGAATGGCCTGAGAGAGAAAAAAAAAAAAAAAAAAGAAAGAAAGAAAGAAACAAATAGAGCAAAAGCTAAGGGAAAGAAAAGAGAATAAAGGTAATTAAAATGACTGACAGCTTGATCAATTTGTTGTCTAATTAGTTATTGTAGATGAGCACAGATTTCTTTTAACTTTGTGGAAAACATAGAACATGGTCGAGTAAAGATACATGATTTTGTTCTATTCTATTTATAATATTCTTTGGAATTCTTCCTCGTTCGAATATTTCTCTTCTTTGTTTTATTAATGATGGATTCGATAGATACTCATTGAGGTAGATAATTGATAGTTTGTGTCGAAGAAAATCTTCGATGACACTTGGATTTGTTGCTAATATTGTGCAAGTTAGTTTGTTCCAGTGAATACGAGATAATTCTTCAATTGATCGATATTTTGGTAAATGTTCAATTTCTATACTTCTAGCATCATACCAATTATGCATTATTCTGTAGATTTGTCTATTAAATCCTTCAATTTGTTTCTTTTTATAATTTGCTAGAAGCGGATAAATATTCAGGATCGATTGTAGATGAGGTCGGATGAATGCATTATAAAGACGATAATTCACACTTTCACTCATCATTCGACTAGTTGCTAAGCGTTTGAATATGTTAAGGTTTGTTCGTATTTTTGAATTGATGTAATCGATATGCGCTGTGAAAGATAACTTAGCATCAAGGATTGTTCCAAGGTACTTGATTTGATTTAAATGTTCAATCTTGTGTTCTTTACATTGAATATTAGGTATAATAGGATTAGCTTGACGATTGAAGAAAGTCCAATATGTTTTATCATAGTTAATTGGTTGTTTCCACTTGGTTGAATATGTTATCAATCGTCTTAGTATCTGTACTAGTTGTCTTCTTAGTGATTTAATCATTTTCTTTGATGACAGTGCTGACGACGGTGCAATAAGTACCGCCAAATCATCTGCATATAAATGCTTCCAATGAATAGTCGACAGTGTTTCAAGTAAATCATGATGGTATACAATGAATAGTACAGGACCTATACAGCTCCCTTGTGGAACACCTTTCTTGAGATCAAAAGTAGATGAAGTTGTATTTTTAATATCGATGTAAGCTTTCCTACCACACAAGTAATGTTTCAGCCAGGCTATTATATACAATGGACAATGTAATTTGTTCAGCTTTAACCATAATCCATTTAACCATAACTGGTTAAAAGCAGAACTGAAGTCCACAAAAAGTCCTGCTGCTGCTGTATTCATTGACAGACTTTGGCCAATTTGATCGATCATAGCTATCAGACGCACAGACATGTTGTGTTTTGGTCTAAAACCTGTTTGTTCTGCTGGGAGTATTGCAAAATCATCTATCCAACTACGAAATTGTATCAAAAAACATTTTTCAAATAATTTGGAAAAACATGGTAATAAAGAGATTGGTCTTGTTTTATCTATAGATGTTATCTTAGATTTTGTTTTGGATAGTAATATTATTCTTGCAGTATGCCAGTGTTTGGGTGTTTGTAAAGTAGAGGCAAAATTATTCATGCATGCCAAAACAATTGATACATGATTTGGTGGAAGTATCTTGATGATTCTATTTGAAACTCCATCTATACCTGATGAATTTTTCTTTTTCAATGATGTAATGATCCTGTATAATTGTTGATAAGTAATATTCATCGGATTAGGAGGATTGTTAATCAAGATTTCATTGAGTTCGTTCACATTTATCCTTGCTTCAATATCGATGTCTGTTTTTGTATCTTGATGATCAGTAAATTGTTCTTCGTAATAATTTTTTGCAACAGCACACATTTCATCTGGTGACGTAATGGTGTTGTTGTTAATAACAAAACCTTCAACTGGTGTAGATTTTGAACGGAAATGTCGTTTTGCCTTTTGCAAAAAAGATTTTGTATCACAGTCATTGAATGAACCACAATAGTCGAGCCATAATTTTCTTTTATATTGAAAAAGTGTTTTTTGTACTAGTTTCGATATATCACGTAACATTATTGCATAATATGGATGATAGGTTCTTCGAAATAATTTTAAATACATATGTTTTTTATTAATTAAAAGTATAATATCTTGTGGTAAAGTTGGTTTGAACGACTTTCTGAATGTAACATTCGTAAAACGTGATATACTCAACGATAGAAATCTCTCGTAGAGTGTGAAAAAAGTAGTTGAATGAGCCATATCTTCTGCAAGTTTATTCCAATAACTACCGGTAAACGTAAGAAAAACTTCAAATAATTTCCAGTGAGTTCGTTTAATTGGATATTTTTGATGTGCAGTAGATATTTTAATTGCAGAGCGCCAAATAACCGGATGATGATCACTACCAATGGATGGCAAAACTGAAAAAGTATCTGATGCCATATGTGACGGTGCGAAAATTAGATCAATTGTTGCCTTTGAACGAGTAGACGTTGGAATAAATTTATTAATAATTTCCATTGTTGCATGTGTTGGTGATGAGGATAACCAGTTAAATAATGTTTTTCCTTTTGGATTTTCCACCGAGCGAGACCAAGAATTATGTTTAGCATTTAGATCTCCGGTGAAGATAGTATTTTCATTTTTTTGTAATATTCGATCAAAAATTTCAAAAGGAATTTGTTCATGTGGTGGTGAATAACATGTGACTAATTGGAATTTATTTTGTTCTTCACCTATTTCTAGCGCAATCAAGTTCGGTATATTCTCGAACTCAACCATTCTTTGAGTACGAATTGATTTATGTATAGCAACTAAAACACCTCCAAAAGCATTTGTACCATTGATCGAGAAGACATTATAGTTAAAGAAGTGTTTCGTAAACTGTTTAGTCGATCTTTCATCATGATGTGTGCCATTTAATGTAATAATTGGTGGAGAAGTAGTATCAATAAGTTTAAAGATCTCTACCATATGACAATTTAAGCTGGAGACATTTAGTAAAAGTATTGAAATATTATCTTTAATATTTAACATCGATAAAGTTTTATCACGATAAATTGACCATTTGTCTATCAAGAGATCAAGTGTTGGAGTACTTGTCCATTCTTCAAAAATCATTTTAAAAGTGTTTTCTTCATGTTTAGTAAGTTGATTAACATTGATAAGAAATGGTTTCTTTTGTTTCGGATTAAATACTGCTGCGGTTGGATTCATTCGAGGACGATCTATATAGTATAGGATCATCTGTTTGATTTTTATCTTCTGATTTCTTTTCTATTGTTTTCATTGTTTCTTCATACCGTTGTTTAAACTTTTTAATATTTGGATGTAATTTTTCTGTTTGATCCTTCTTTCCAAGATTCATTACAGCATTACTTAAATTTATAAGAAATGGACATACGTCTTTCATTAAAAAGTTGTTGAGTAAATCAATGTCATTTTGACATGACTTTATCATATGGTATGCATTTGAAATGTTTGAATTTAATTTTGCTTGATCTTGTGCGAGTTTGTCTAGACTGTTAACTATTTGATTCAATTTCATATTCATTTCATCTAACAAGTCTGGACGTTCAGTTGCTTTTTCATTTTGAATTGTAGTATAAGTTGGTGTTTGTAAAGCTTCTTTAGCAGCATTATTAAACCATACATTCTGAGTTTCACGAGATTTTTCTTGTAAAAATAATTTGTTGTTGTTGTTGTAGTTAATATTTTTGTTCGATATCATATTCTTTGACAGCTGCTGTTGCTTTCTTCGTTCTTCTACTTTGATTGGACAATTTGGATTACCTGCCATATGACCTTGACCACAATTAGCACAACAGATATCATTTTGACAATTTGGATTGTACGGATAGTTTGATCCACAGCGGAAACATTTAGGTTTATCTTTATAAGGACAATTAACTGCAATGTGGTCGTTGTATACTTGACAGTTAAAGCATCGTAATATTTTTGTTGGTGGAGAGTACGGTTGTACCATGAACGATGTGTTTTCATCATCAAGTAATAGACGCTTGCTTTGTATAATTTTCTTTACTTCTTGATTTGTTGAAAAATCGATTCTAACTTTAGATATTGGAATACCACCTTTAACATAGAGTCGTTCTACTTTGATTATTGTAGGATATTGCTTTTTAATATCCGATTCAAAAAGACTCACATCCCACTGTGCAGGAACACCAATAGCAACAATTGAGTACGCCATTGGTACTTTAACAGGAAACGAAATTTCATAATCAGAAGAGCATATCTGGATTGGCCATGATATTTTATCCATTAATCGATCGAATTGTTCACTAGTATTTGCATAAATAAGAAAACATTTTTTATTACCATTAGATGAGTACCGACCATAAGAGAGACCGATGCGGAAATGCTTATTCATATCTTTAATGATTGATAATTCCGACGGCCAACTATTACCGGTAAAGTTTATACGAAAAGGTGGAAACGTTGATCTGGAGATGGTTACGCTAAGATGATTATGTTCAGAAGATGTCGTAACATTTTGTTGTTGATGCTGTTGATTTGTTCGAGGAACAGTGCTGTTGAAGTATTGGTTACGTGCATTGACCATACGATGTTCTTGTTCGAATGAATCATCACCTTGTTTTGATCTTTTCGATGCACTACGTGTGGTGTTTTGTTGTGGAGTTTTTGCCAGATCTGTTATTGGATCTGTAACCTCTTTCATTTGATTGTTGGTTGTTGAATTTGCTTGATAAGACTTGTTACCACCAGAGCTCATCAATAGTGGTAGCAGGAGAAATTAAT